CACACACACTCACACTCACACTCACACTCACACACTCTGCAGCGCCCCCTGGAGCCCGTGCTGGAGCTGAACAGCCCCAGAAGCCACCTTGTGGACGGCACCCTTCTGCCCAGGGGACACAAGGACCCAGCCACTCTCAGCCCTGCCCCACGGCCTTCTGTCCACCCGCCTTGTTCAGAGGCTCCTGTTCTCACCTAGAGAGCCCCCAGGGACACCTGGAAGGAGGGCGGGCCAAGGCTCTCTGACGTCAGGCACAGCTAGGTTTCAGGGCCCGGAGCAGAGAGCAGGGCTCACAACCGGTCACCAGGGCTTAGGAGATGGCTTCAGTGAAACCCCATCCCTGCCCCTGCCCCCCAAGGCCCCAGCTAAGCCTTTGCTCACCCCCAGACCCGGAATCGCGGGCAGCGCATGAAGGAGGGGGCCCACATCAACCGCTCCCTGCTGGCGCTGGGCAACTGCATCAACGCGCTGAGCGACAGGGGCAGCAACAAGTACGTCAACTACCGCGACAGCAAGCTCACCCGGCTCCTGAAGGTACCAGCGGCCCAGCCCAGGCGCGGGCACCGGGGCCGGGGCTGAACAAATAAGCAAATCCAGGAGGTGGCTCGAGCCTGATCCCAGCCCTCGGGAGGCCAGGGCCCGAGGATCACCTGAGCTTAGGAGTGTAAGCCCCGCCCAGGCAGCAGGGTGAGACCCGACTCAGAAAAGACAACACAGAACGGAACAGCCAGCTGCATCTGAATCTCAGATGAAAAATGTCGTTTCAGTGTAAGTGTGTCCCATGCAATATTGGAAACATATTTACACTTAGAAAAAAGTTTTCATTCATTGTTTATCTGAAGTTCAGATGTACCTGGGTGTCCTGTATTTCATCTAGAACTCCAACCAAAGGGTGGCAGCAAGAAGGGACAGCAGCTGGACCTGACCCCCTTTCTAGGACTGCGGGTCCAAGAGAACTAAGAGCCATCTGGTCGGCAGACAGTCTATCTCACGGCTTAACTGTCCCCTCCTCTGTGCAGGGATGCCCAGGGCCTTATGTTCTAGGGACATCACTGAGTGCCCACTCCTGTCTGGGCCCTCTGCCCAGCATTTCACCCCACGAGTCCTTTACTCTTGTCCGTGACTCTTTGAGTTGGGGGGGACGTCTCATTTGCAGATGAGGAAACCGAGGCACAGAGGAGTTGAGGTGTTCTCCTGGGGCTCGCACCGCGGGGCAGTAGAAAGAGCACAGAGGTCTCCTGGTCAGCACGGCCACGGCTCTCATGCACGGGCGTCACCTGCTGTGGAGACTGCATCCACGAGGCAGGGAGGTGGGGCAGAGGCAAAGGACTGCCATCTACCAAGGCAGGCAGCTCAGGATCAGGAGTGAAGTAGCTTGCGTCTCACAGCTGGCAGTGGCCGAGCCCGGCCTTTCCTCCTCCTGTGCTGTTTACACCACATGGTGCCCAGCAGCCAGGCTCCACGGGGTGTGCGGGCGAGAGAGAAGGGGGCAGGGGAGCACGGGGAGCAGCCTGCAGGAGGCATTGTGACACTCCAGTGGTCACCGGGACCTCACTCCCCACCCCACCCCACCCCGCAGGATTCACTGGGGGGCAACAGCCGCACCGTGATGATCGCCCACATCAGTCCTGCGAGCACCGCCTTCGAGGAGTCCCGGAACACCCTGACCTACGCTGGCCGCGCCAAGAACATTAAGACCAGGGTGAGGGCAGGCCTGGCGGCACACACCTGTGATCCTAGCCACTCGGGAGGCAGAATCCCACAGGCCTCTTTCTGCCATCCCCCACCTGGGCCCTCGGCCCCAGCCCTGAGGTCCGTTTGACCTCTGCGTTTCCCCGGCACCTCGTCACAGTAGCCACGATAAGAGGTGGTGGCCCTGACGGCCCTTACTCTGGGCTCTTCAGCCTGTGATCTCATTCAGTCCCCACATGAGGCAGGTGTCACAGCTTCCTCAGTGCACATTTAGAACCACAAGGCTTGGGGACCTTAGGTGACTTGCCAGCTGGTCAGAGATAGCGTGAAGACTGGAGCTGGGCCACCTGTTGGGACCCCTTCCGCCCAGTAAGAGTCTGTCCCAGCCTGTCCAGGTGTGGAGCAGGCAGCGGGCGGCTGCAAGGCAGAGCTGGGAACCTTCTTCCAGCACTGAGACCCCTGTCGCTGTCGTGGGGGACTGAAGTTACACTCCTGTTCCAGAACTTCCTGGGGGGAGGGAAATGCTTCACTGATAGCTCAGCAGGTGCAAGGGCAGAGCTGAGTCCAGACAGGGGGTGGGCAGTGGGCAGGCCAAGGGTGGACAGTGGGCAGGCCAAGGGGGCCCTGGGGCTTCAGTGGTGCTCTGAAGACTGGAGAGAACATTCCAGAAGTGTGGAAGCAGGAAGGGCAGAGATTCTGAAGGTGGGAAGGAGATGGTGTCTGTGTGGGCGCGGGAGACCAGGATAGCTCCTTGACTATGGCAGGAGTGGAAGCAGTCAGAGGTAGCGGTGGGTGCTGAACCCAGGCCCAGGGCTCAGGCCTACACAGCAGGGAGCCTGCAGGTGGATGAGCAGAAGGAGAAGCAGGCAGATGTGAGAGGAGGCTGCCATCCAGAAGGACTGCCCCCGTCCCCCGGCCTTGGGGACTGCACAGAGGCAGGCTGGGTGGCTGCAGCCCTCTGCTCCCATCCCCTGCTCCCCACAGGTGAAGCAGAACCTGCTCAGCGTCTCCTACCACATCGCCCAGTACACCAGCATCATCGCTGACCTGCGGGGAGAGATCCAGCGCCTCAAATGCAAGATTGACCAGCAGGCTGGGCGGGGCCAGGCCCAGGGCCAGCTGGGGAGGGGTGACATCCGCCACATCCCAGGTGTGCCCCAGGCAGCAGCCCTCCACCAGGTTGTCTCTCCCTGCTCTGGGGACAAGCAGGGCTGGGTTCATCCAGACCCTGGCTCTTTCTGGCTGGGTAGGCTTGGGCTAGGCACTCAACCTCTCTGAACCATCTAGCCTTCCCCTGTAAATTAAGATCACCATCTCTGCTTCAGAGAGTCGGACATTAGGTGGGATCACACAAGTGAGAGACTCTGAGCATTTAGCTGTGCAGGATTTAACACTGGAGGTGGCCACTGTGGTGCTATGGGGACATGTCTGCCACCACTGGAAGGGGCACATTCTCTCGCAGACTTGTGTGTTTGCTATGATGTTTTTCCAACATGGCAATGGCGTGTAGGGTCACCTGTGTGTAGCTGACACACAGGTGCTTGGCGCTAGCAAAACCCAGTTCCTATGGAGGAGCTGGGGCCACCTTTGGGCCACAGATTAACGGCACCCTGTGGGAGTGTATCGAGGGAGGATAAGGTAATCCAGGAGGTCCTCCTGCAGGAAGTGGCTGCACAGGAAGTGGGGGCAATGTTTTGGGAAGAAAGTGTGGAGAAGGCCCTGGGTGGGCACAGACCTTCTTGGCCTGAGCCTGTCCCCTCCGCCGACCTCCCCACCCGCCACCAAGCAGCCGAGGTCCAGCTGCACAGGGGGCAGGGCGAGCAGGACGAGATGGGGCCGCTGCGGGAGCAGCTCATCAGCGCTTTCCAGGAGCAGATGGATGTGCGCAGGCGCCTGCTGGAGCTGGAGAACCAAGCCATGGAGGTGCAGATCGAGACCTCCCGCCACCTGCTCACCATTGCCGGGTAAGCACCGCCCACACAGCCTCCAGGTCCCGCCCCCGGCCTGGGAGGGAGGAGCTGGGGTCATAGGCGCACACTGTCCCCAGGCCTGACCCCTGTGTCTTCCTGGGGGTGGGGCTGTGGCAGCTGGGAGCATGAGAACTCCCGGCGGGCCCTCAAGTGGCGGGAGGAGCAGAGGAAGGAGTCCTACACTAAGGACGACAGCGAGAAGGACTCAGACACCGGCGATGACCAGCTGGACATCTTGGAACCACCTGAGGTGGCCTCGGCCCGGGAGAGCATCGCGGCCCTGGTGGGCAAGCAGAAGCAGCTGCACAAGGAGAAGGTGTCTGGGTTGAGGGGAGGGGAGTGGGTTTAAGAGGCAGGCGAGGAGGGAGACCTAGGAAGTCAGACCACAGATGCTGGGTGACGTTGCTAAACTCAACCTCTCTGTGCTTCACACTTCTCATCTTTAAGTGGGAGCAGTCATGATGCAGCCCTCACTGGGCCGTTGGAGAGATTAAATTCAATGCCTGGCACACACCAGAGAGTCAAGATCAGGGCTTTCCCATAACAGGAGCCTCTGTTCTGGGGTTACCCGAACTGGGGGAGGGACTTCAGGGTATAATGAGACCTGGGGGCTGGGGCTCAGCAACTAGTTATCCACCTGGCTCCAGGGTTGGGTGGGTGGTCGGGGCGCAAGAAAGTGCGCAGAGACCGTGTTGGAGCAGCCCCTGGTTGCAGGCCCAAGATACCCCTTCTGAGGGTTGGCCTCGGCATGGTGCCCTAACCCATTCCTGGAGTTCGGAGGCTGGAGGGGCGAGGACAGGCGGCCACTGCCTGGTGCTGATCTCCCGCTGCCCGCAGCTGGCGCTGGAGCAGCGCTGCCGGGAGCTGCGCGCGCGGGGCCGGCGCCTGGAGGAGACGCTGCCGCGGCGCATCGGCTCCGAAGAGCAGCGCGAGGTGCTGAGCCTGCTGTGCCGCGTGCACGAGCTCGAGGTGGAGAACACAGAGATGCAGTCGCACGCGCTGCTCCGCGACGGGGCGCTGCGCCACCGCCGCGAGGCCTTGCGCCGCCTGGAGCAGCACCGCAGCCTCTGCGACGAGATCATCCAGGGTCAGCGGCAGATCATCGACGGTAGGGCCCGTGCCCCGCGTGTCCGCAACACTGGTGGAGGGCCCACAGGCCCGCGCTGAGCCCTTCCCTCCCCCTGCAGACTACAACCTGGCTGTCCCCCAGCACCTGGAGGAGCTCTACGAAGTGTACCTGCGGGAGCTGGAGGAGGGCAGCCTGGAGCGGGCCACCATCATGGATCGCGTTGCCTCCAGGGCCCTACAGGTGGGCGCCTGGCACGCGCCTGGGCACGTGTGCATGTGATGAGGGAGGGGCTGCCACCCAGGGCAAGCCTGGAGAGTGGGTGGCACCAGGCTATCTGGCACCCCAAGGAGGTGACTTCTTTCCTAGTCCAACCAAACTTTGCCAAGCCTGAGTGAGGTCCCCACCCCTGGGCATTCCACGCTGACGCCTGTCCCCACCCAGGGTCTGAGGGCCAGGATTGGCCACCTGAGATATCCTGAATAGCCCCAGATGCCCTCCGAAGAGACCAGGCCACCAGCAGCACCACTAAAAAGCTGCCTGACCGACCACAGCTTAGCCCTGAGGATCCAGAGCCCAGGGCCTCCCGGCCTAGGTTACAGGCCGCGTCCTCTGCGTGCTCTGTCACCCGGTGCCGTTGCCTGCCCCAGGACCAAGTCTCCTGACGGCCTGCCCCTGCTCTTTGCTTCCCCAGGACAGCTCCTTGCCCAAAATCGCCCCAGCAGGAGCCACACTGACCCCAGACTCTGACCTGGAGAGCGTGAAGACGCTGAACTCGGAGGCTCAGCACCTGCTGGGCAGCACACTCCCGCCCCTGGGGACGGACAGGTGAGGCAGCCTGCTGCCAGCCACCTGCTGTGTCCTGTCTGGGATGCCAACGCTGATCTGTGCTGAGTGGGGAGACGAACTAGAATGAAAGGGAGGGAGTGGCACAGGCCTGGAGCTGGGACTCCCGGGTTCTCTTTCCCTGTGGGCCAGCAGCTTCTCCCTGGGGTGGGGTGGGATGCCATAGCCACCCTGTCCTCTCTGTCAACTTCAGTGACGCCCACCACGTGTTCAAGGCCAGTTCCCGGGCCTGGCAGGTGAAGAGCTCCTCTGTGCCCACCCCGCCTCCCATCCAGGGTGGCAGCCTGGTGACCCAGGAGGTGAGTTCTGGGCACCTGTTGGCTCCAGGGGCTATACTGCTGGGTTGGGGGCTCAGGGGTGGGTACCCAGCAAATAGTCTTTGCAAAACGGCCACCACCTCTGAGACCCTGCAGCCCTGCTGAGTGGGGCATGGGGTCCCTGTTCAAGGCCTTCCTTTTCCCAACCACTTCACCCCCAGGCCCTGCCTCCAGACAGCCTGGGTAGCCATATCACCTCTTCCCCAGACAGCAGCGAGAACCTGTCAGAGATCCTCTTGTCCCACAAAGGTGAGCTGCCCCCTGCCTGCCCTGCCTGCACCCTCTAAATTGCTCGGCTTGGGGGTGGGAATGTGGCAGTGGAAGAGCGTACAGGCCCTGGGTGCAGTCTGCAGCATGGTGACTCACCTGTAATCCCAGCCACTCAGGAGGCTGAGGCAGGAGGATTGCAAGTTCAAGGACAGCCTCAGCAATTTAGCAAGGCTCTAAGCAACTTAGCAAGACCCTGTCTCAAAAAATAAAACGGGCTGGGGATGTGGCTCAGTAGTAAAACACTTCTGGGTGTTTTAATCAGTCAATCACCAGTACAAAAAAAAAAAACAAAAAACGATCAGTTCACCCAGCCCAAAGCCCTTTCTTGTTCTCTACCCTGCTGAATGAGCCCATGCATTGAATGCTGCCACTCTATAGAGACACCAGTGCCACCTGCTCAAGGACACATAGAGATGAGGGCACAATCAGAAACTGAAATGGGGATACCTGCACTTTGAATCATGCCCCCCTCCTTCCCACTCAGTAATCATTCTCTGTTGTTCGTCTAAATAAGCCTGTGGGGTTAGTTTTCCCATGCCATTTACAGAGGAGTGTGTCTTAGCCAGCAAGCCAGGAGTCCTGTTTCCTGCTCATTTCTGCCAGGCAGAGACGGGGTGTAGAGTGGCCCTGACCCCATGTCCTGTGCTGCAGAGAGGAAAGAAATCCTGACTGGTACCAAGTGCATCTCGGTGAAAGCTGCCCGGCGGCGCTCTCGGGCCCTGGGCACGGAGGGGCGCCACCTGCTGGCGCCTGCCATGGAGCGCAGCAGCCTGTCCCTGCACTCTCTGAGCGAGGCTGATGATGCCCGGCCACCAGGCCCACTGGCGTGCAAGCGGCCACCCAGCCCCACGCTGCAGCACGCTGCCAGCGAGGAGAACCTGTCCAGCAGCACAGGAGAGACCCCGTCTCAGGCGGTTGGGCATCGAGGTGGTGGCCCCGGGTTCTGGCTGCGCGGCCAGAAGAAAAGCCCAGGCAAGAAGAAGGAGGAGTCCCTGGAGGCGAAGAGGAGGAAGCGGAGGTCCCGGTCCTTCGAGGTCACAGGGCAAGGGGTGAGGTGTCTGGGTACCTTCCTTGTGGGTGGTAGCTCAGGGCTCGCTTCTTCCAGAGCCCCAGGGCACTTCCAGCCCTGCACACCCTGGGCTCCGCCCTCCACCAGGCCTCCGTCCCAGGCTGGCCCAGGAGCCCGGCAGAGCCCTGTGTCAGACCCTCAGGCAGTGCCTGGCCTCACCTCACTGTTCCCCACCACCACAGCTCTCCCGCCCCAAGACACACCTCCTGGGGCCCCGGCCCTCAGAGAGCACCTCGGACCACAAGACGCCAGTGGGTGGGCACCCAAGCCCTGGTGTCAGGCACCTGGGAAAGGTCACGCTGCCTTTGGCCAAAGTCAAACTCCCCACAGGCCAGAACACAGGTCAGTACCCTCAAGGGAGGGAATGGGGAAGGGGAGGCCTTGGCCAGCCCAGGGAGGGGCATATTGAGTTCCCTGCCCCTAGGCTTGGCCCTGACTGGGAGCATGCTTCCTGACAAACGTCATGGGACTAGCAACTTGGGCTACCCTAGGGAGTCAAGGCCACTGGGCAGTGGGGATGCAGATGGCAGGGCATTTCTCTTCTGACCCTGGCCCTTCCCTCTTGTAGGCCCTGGAGACCCTTCAGCCCTTACTGTTCCCCCCAACCCAGCTGGAGTTTCCCGAAGGGTTACTCGTGGACCCCACCTGCCCCACGGGTCAAGCACGCATGGCAAAGATGGACGCTTCCGGCACAACTGAGGGCTCCTGCCTGGAACCAGCTATTCTGCCCCCAAGGCTGAATGGGGGGGGGGGTGTAACAGGGAAGGGGAACTGGACCCTGGGCATTGGGGGTCAGGTGGAGCAGGAGCTCAGAAGGTTGGGGCTCCTGAGACCCAAGGGTTGCGGGGGTGTCTGCGCAGCCTTCCATGCTTCCAGTGCTGCAGGGAAGGGAGGCGAGCCCAGAGCCCCCCAGCCCTGCTCAGAACACTGTTGCCAAAACCCTGCACACACCTGGGTTAGTCCTGGCCTTGGCGATGGGGGAGGGAACTGCAGTGGGATGGGCTCCTGGGCCCACACCTGCGGCCAGGGCATTTGGATGGTTGGGGAGGGGCTGATGGTACTTCACGGGTGATGGCTGGAGGTGGGGAGGGAATCTGGTTTTGTTACTTGGATATGGCTTTTTTTTTTTTCTTCTTCCTTTTTTTAACAATAAAATCCCATTTGGTTTGATGGTTGAGTTGCAAACTAGACCTTATCTGAATGTCGAGTGGGCTCTGTGGTTGGGTCCAGAGGTGGGGAGGAGTCAGGACGAGGTCACTCCAACCCCAGCTGTGAGGGAGAGCTTTGTGGTCAGCTGGATGACCGTTCAGCCAGCAACACCGGTCTCCTCCTGGCTGGCTGCCAAGACACTGGGAGGAAGGGGCATTTCTCCAGATCCCATGCCCCCCCCTCCCAGGAGAGAGAGGTGCAGGACTTGGAGTGGCCAGGCTCAGAAGGCCTCACAACTCAGATGAGGTGGCCGCTGCTGGAGGTCAGGGCTGAGAATTGCCTGGCTAAACCCCGGAGGTCAAGGTGGGCTGGCTGGTGGCCCTGAGCATTTGAATGCTCTTTTCTGACCTGTTCCATGGGAGGGGTGGGGAGCTCAGAGAGAAACTCAATGAAGGGCAGGGGAATCCCCAGGCTTGCGACTATCCCTGGGTGGCTTTTACCCAGGGGTGGGTGGTTCAATCATCCCTTCACCTCTCTGGGCATCCATTTATTCAGGGCCAAGCGCTGCCTACATGTGAAATCGGCTCCTGAAGCCGGACATCTGGTCTACCACTGCTCACCTGGTCTCCATCCAGCCCAGCGTCTCCGGTGCCTGATCACCCAGGGCCCAGGCTGGCAGTCATCTCTACACGGGCCTTGTCCCTCCCAGACCCTGGTGCCCTCTAGGCAAGACTTTTATTTCCCAATCCGGGGGCTACTTGGGGGTCCGGATGAGGGTGTGGTACACAGGCTTGACGATGAGGTGCAGATGCAGGGCGTTCTCCACCAAGTACTCGGAGTTGCGCCGCTGCAGATCCGCGTGCGCCAGGAAGTCTCCCGCCTCCTCGCTGCTCTGGTGGAAGCTGTAGGCGTGGCGCACCAGCAGGTGGCCCTGCTGACGCGCCCCCACCAGCACCGTCTTTTGGAAGCTCACTCCCGCAGCGTCGCCGCCGCTGCTGGCCGGCGTAACCACCAGCCTTGGCCGGCCGTCCTCTGGGCGCGCCGCGGGCAGCGCGGTACCCGCAGCGTCCGCGTAGACCGGCCGCAAGCTGACGGGCAGCCAGCGCGGGGAAAAGAGCACGTTCCACGTGATCCGGCGGCCGGCGTCGTGGCCGCTCGGGCCCAGCTGTGTCTGGAAGCTGGTGCTGCGGTCGTCGCGGGCCGGGTTATTGATGACCCACGGGGCGCCCCAGGCGGGCGCGAGGTAGTTGCGGGGCAGGAAGGCGCTACCGTTGACGTCGAAGAACTTGGCGTAGTGCAGCGGCGAGGCGGCGTGGAACTGGTAGGCCTGCAGCAGGAGGTCCGCCACCGCCAGGCCGTGCCGCGCCAGGACCGCTGAGCGCGCCTGCAGCTGGAACAGCTGCGCAGGCGGGATCATGGGGTATCGGATGGCGCGCAGCGCCCGCTCTGCCACCGCGGGGGGCGGCCGCGCGCGGCCCAGCCACACCTCCAGCGCGTGGAACAGCTCCAGTTCGTCCTGCAGCACCAGGTCCGAGCGCTGCAGCAGCTGCGCCAGCAGCTCGGGGCTCACGGAGCTCCACTCAGCGCTGCCCACCACGGCAGACAGGTTCCAGGCCAGGAACTGCAGGCAGCTCTCACGCAGGGCCTCGTCCCCCGTGCTCACTGCGTAGTGGTACCAGCCCACCGCAGGGCCTGCGCCTCCTGCCAGGTGTGCGCGCATGTAGTCGGCCACGCCTCGCTGTAGGGAGGCCACCCGGTACTTGGTGGCCAGCTTATGCAGTGGAATGGCCTGAGCAAGCAGTATCGTCAGCTCTCCGCAATATAGGTACCTGCCGGAGAGGTCCAGAGGTGGGGCCGAGTCAGAACGAGGTCACTCCAACCCCAACTCTGATGGAGAGCTTTGTGGTCAGGGGCGCAGTCCGAGGGGAATGGGCCCTGACACTTCCCTCTTAAGGACCTTTCCACACTGTTCCCACTTGACAGCCTCTTCTCTCGGTTTCTGGTGGTGAGGTGGAAATCCCGTGTGTTCGTTGAGCATGTACTAGGGGCCTAACTGTGGCTACAACAAATGCAGAGAGGTTCCTGCCGCTGAGGAGTTTGTAGTCTGAGTTCAGGGCCGTGTCCTACCACCTCCTTGCCATGAGACTGGACAAATTGTTTAACTTCCATGAACTTTGGAATCATCTAGGAAAGGGGGAACAGTATGCACCCCTTAGGGTTATGGAGTCAAGGGAGGGGGTGGACTGAAGGATCTTGATACTAAGTCGGCAGTCAACACAGCTTCCTTCCTGGTCCCCCTACCTTTTCTTCTCAGTCTGCCACTGTCCACCTGCTCATCCTTCCTGCCACTGTGCCCCTGCTCACTGGGACACACTTGGCTCTATAGGAGCCCTTCCGTTTTATCCCCCTTCCTGGAACTTGGAAGTGATGTCCAGAATCCTGCAGCTGTCTTGTCTAAGCCATTAGAACTGGAATACTTCCTTAGACCACAGTGTGAATGGTTTCCCCTGTGCAGCACACTGGCAGGAAGCAGGGAGCTGGTTAACCTTTCTGCTCCCTAGCACCATGGTTCCAAACCTGAGTAGAGCCAACACTAAGCAGATTGCTTGTCCCAACCAGCAGACCTGAAATTGACTGTGCAGGCTCGGGAATCTGTGGGGTTTTTGTGTTTTGATTTTGGTGCTGTGGATTGAACTCAGGGCCCTTTTTTGTATTAGAAACAGGTCTCACTGAGTTGCTTAGCGCCTCCCTTCCTGTTGCTGAGGCTGGCTTTCAACTCCTGATGCTCCTGCCGCAACCTCCTAAGCTTCTGGGATTTTAGGTGTGTGCCACGGCGCCTGGCTAGGAATCTGTGGTCTCTAAAAGCTCTCCTGGCCAGGTTAGGAAACAGCTCCTCAGGGTTGCCAGGGGCAGGCAGTGATAGCAAACCGAGCAGAGCCACAGGGGAAGTGGGGAAGGCCAGGCACCACAGTGCTGTGTGGGAGAGGGAGCGGGAGAAGGGGCCAAAGGTGGCAACTTGCTGTCCTGATGACATCAGGCAATGGGCGAAATGACCTCTGAGGGCCTGGGCCCCCCGTGGCCCTGTGGGTGGAGGAGCCAGGGCTGGGAAGAGATGAAGGCCCATCCCTCCTGCCCCACCTGATGAACTTGTCGAAGACGGCGGCGCAGTCCCGGGGCTCCCGCAGCACGGCCTCGCTCTGGTTGCTCAGCAGCTCCCTGAACAGCTCGCTGTGCAGCCCCAGCAGCAGGCGGTGGGCGTGGAAGACGCGGACCTCGTCGGTGCCCGCGGCCTGCACGCGCAGAACCACGTCGCTGGCGTTGCCCTGGTGCAGCAGCTCCTGCAGGCGGTGGAGCAGCATCTGGGAGTGGTTGATGGAGGTGCCCGCTGCCTCCCCGCCCACATCGGATCTCTGGGCTGTAGCAGAAGGGACAGGGCACGGCCTGAGAAGGCACCCGCACCCAGGGCCTCGAGCCAGGGGTGCAGAGGGCCAGCTGGAGACACGCATGCATGGGTGTTGGAGGGCAGGAGGGCCTGGGGGGCTGTGTGGACACACCTGAGGTGCCCATGAGAAGAGCGGGTGCATGTGGGTACGCGCAGCAGTCTAGGTGGGCAGGTCTTACGGACGCAGACCTGAGGGATGCTCTTTTAAGTGGGGCGGGTTCTAGGCAGGGAGCAGTAGGGACCCTCTGTGATCTCCATGAGCTGGTGTCCATGATGCCAGGCCCCCCAGGAGAGGGTTGAAGAAACTTGGCTCCTACGCTTCCTGTCTCTGAGCAGTTGTCCACCCTGCCCCTCCGAGGAGTCGTCAGAGGGGCACATATACTGGCAAATATCGAGCACGTATTATGTGCCAGGCACTCTCCCAAGAGCTTGGACTGCGGCAGTGGATAAAAGGAGCCGACTCCCGTGGTGCCGGGAGTGCAGGGGCCGGTGAGTGGGAGGAGGGGTCGAGCCAGAGCCCCTGCAGCCAGCCAGGAGGGAAAGCGTTTTGGCCCAGCCCTGCCCTGGAGTTCTGATCTGTGAGGCAGAGGGGGGACAGGAGGAAGTCCCAGGGGCTGGATGGATCTGGGCAGGGCCCTGTGGGTCACTGGTGTCGAGGCCGGCACCCCCTCCAGGCTGGCCCCTGGGATGGAGACCTGCACTCAGCTACAGAGCGCCCATTGACAGGGACGCTGCTGGCAGCCTCCCCCAGCTGAGAGCGGCACAAGGAGGCTGGCAGAAGGAGCCAGGAGGGTGACTGGCAGCAGCAGATGGCCCAGGCACACGCACACCCGGGCTGTGGTGCCCGGGCACTCGTGGGGAGAAGGCTCACCCAGACTGGAGCATCTCTGTGTGAGAGGCCGCGAGAGAGCCAGGGAGAGAAGTGGGCGTGCATTTCCCAGCCCCGCCTCCCCAGCTGTCACTCTGAGGGGCCTGAATGCTAATGGCGTCCCCATTCAGCCTCTGCCCAGGCCCAGCTGCCTGGGACAATGAACAAGGGAGGGTCTTTTTGTCCTTAAGACCCCTGCCTGCTGCCCAGCCCCTTCTCTCTAAGGCTGGCTGCCCTTCTGCCTCCTGGGAGACATCTGCGGACCCTGTCCAGTCCATCCTGAATGGCCAGACACCCCCCACTCCTGGGCAGCTGCTAGCAGTTAGGGCCAGAAGGGCCTGCTCCTGCACCCTGGCCCACACCCACCCACCCACTGCCCCCTCACCTGCATGAGTGGCCAGGCCCACCAAGGTCAGCATGGTCCAGAAGCTGCCCCAGGACCCAGACTGGCAGTGGCCTATCCTAAACATTTCTGTGCTCCGCCCCTGGTTCCACTGGAGGGACACCGAAGTCCAAGCCACTCTGATCAATTGCATCCCTCCTCCTTATATAGGAACCAGCACGGGGGCACAACACCCCCCTTTCTGCCTGGCCTCCCTCCCCCCACCCAGCTTCTGCCATGGATTGGTGGAAACTGGCCCCTGCTGTTGCCCAGGCAACCACTTAAGCCAGAGAGTGGCAGCCACAGGGACTATTGTGCTGCCCTGGGCCCCCAAGGGGAACAGATCCGGACCCCCCTCCCCCACTTCTCCTCATGACCCGGCCAGGCTGGCCCTTCTTCTCCCAGAAAGTTTTAGGCCTCCTGAAGGGCCAGTGAGGAGCTCCGAGACCACGGGCAGCCACCAGCCCCAGGGTCCCCAGCCCCTGTCCCAACTCCCAGGCCCAGCCTCCACCCTGGCACAGGGCACACTTGGTAGCACACACTGAGGCACCATGACCAGCAGACAGCAAAGGGAAGGCTGGAGAAGAGGTGGCTAAGGCTCCCATCCCCTGCTCCCACCTGGGGTGGGCTGGCTCTCCAGAGAGAAGGACGAGACTCTCTAGGAGGGGTCCCTGGGGTAACTGGGATCATTCTCTTGTTCTTTGTTGGAAAAAGTTGCTGGCTTGCTCTGGAGTGGGCCTATAGGAGAGATCCTCCCTTGGGACAGTGTCCACCCCCCCACACCAGGGTCACAGTGAGCCCTGGTGGCAGGGCTGGCATAGAGCCACACACCCTCCTCCGTGCTATAGCGCCTGAGGAGCACCCCTGCCGAGCGCAGGGCTGGGCCCCTCCCAGGGCGGGCGCCCGTCCACCCCTCTTCTTTCTTTCTTCAGTCCTCCTCCCCACGCAGCCCGCTCTCAGGATTCCTTCTTGAAGCCTTCTTCCACCAGTTTCTAGTTTCCAGCTGCTGCAATGTCTGCCTTCCCCACATTCCAAGGAGACACGCAGCGCCCCAGGCCACCGCAGGGAAACTGAGGCGGAGAGCAAGGAAGTGCAGGGGATGCTCTTCTAGAAAGAGGCAATGGAGAGGGGCCGTCAGAGCCAGTGAGCGAGTGCGGGTGGCGCTAGCCAGGCCTCACCTTTGCATGGAGGGAGCAGGACCTGCCCCAGCTCCTCCAGGGAGGGACTTCACTGAGGTTGATGAACAGAAGTGGGGGGCTCCCAGGAAATCCCACCGAGTTCCTCTGAGGCGAGGCCGGGTCCTGGATTAAGGACGGGCTGGAGCGTCCCTGCCCATGCTCTCTGGATCCCAGGGCTCTGCTTGATGCATTGATTTCTGCCCCCGCCGGTGCACAGAGACCCAACAGCCCACTCCCTCCCTCTCTGGAGCCACAAAGAAAGCAAGAATTGGGTCTGGCACCAGCTTCATCCGGGTTGGCAGAGGCAGAGCTGTCCTGCTCAGCGGAAACCCCTCCCAGCTGCCCCCACTCTCACGCCTGACCCCCTCCTCCAGATCCACCATCCCTTGCCCACTGGCTGCCCGCCTGCCCTTCCTGTGGGCTGCACCAGGTCCTGGCTCAACCCAGCGAGTCAGAGCCTCTATGCATCAGGGCAGCTCAGGCCCCAGAGGCACCCCAGCTTCTGCACATAGCACTTGCCAATGGGAGCGCAGCTGATCAGAGACCCCAACGCCCAGCAAACAGTCCCTCAGGAGACACATCTCTGAACACCAGCTGCCAGTCACTCTTGAGGAGTAGCTTACCTGCTCTGGAATTTCTGGTGAGAGAGAAATTCCCAGGAGCAAGCCTGGACTAAATACCCCAGATGATCACTATGCACAAGCTAAAACCTACCTAGCTATTTGAGGTAGATGGGTGGCATTTTAAGTGTGAAGGGGAACCAGGCGTGGTGGCCCACATCTCTAATACCAGTGACTCAGGAGGCTGAGGCAGGAGGATTGCAAGTTCCAAAGCCAGCCTCAGCTCCTTAGGGAGACTCTCTGCAACTTAGTGAGACCCTGCCTAAAAATAAAAAATAAAAAGGGCTGGGGATGTAGCTTGGTGGTAAAGCACCCCTGGGTTCAACCCCCAGTACCAAAAAGCAGAAAAAAAATAAAGTTCCCTGAGACTAGTGTGTCTTCTTGTCTTGTCTAACCTAAGTGACTCATCTGAATTCAGCAGGAGCTAGTAGACCCAGGATTCAAGTGTCACCAAGTTCTGCTTGGCTTGGCTTTGCACAAACCCATACCTTCTTTTCTGGGTGGTATTTCAGTCCTGATGAAAGGGTCCCCCTTGGACAAGGTGTCTCCAGTGCCATAGAAACAACTGGAAATGTTCATAAGCCTGGGACAGGAGGAGGCGTTCTGGGTCTGCACAGGGGGTGACGGGGCCCACATGAAGCCCTGCCCTGTCCCACAGCCTCCCTTACATCTGTAATGTCCCTGTCCTGGGTTAGGGTTCCAGGAGCGAGTTGGATGCTTCGCTTGGAAAGAGGGACTCCAGGCCCCATGTATCCAGGGGCGCCCTCCAGAGATCTACCGGGAGGAACCTTTCCCTGAAGTAACTCCCAAGCTGTTGGAAGCTGTTCCCCAAGAGGGTGTCCTCCGGCTCCGAGCACTGTCCTCTGATCCGTGCTGGCCTCCTCCATGAAGCTTGAGTCTACATGGTCTCTCATTTCCCAAGACGGTTGTGTGAGCAGGAAAAAGCAAATAGCCCTGGAGAAGGCAGAGGGAAGAACAAACCCAAGTTCAAATCCTGCTGCTGCTGTGTGCCAGCTCTGTGATCCTGACCTGTTGCTTAACTTCTCTGAGCCTCAGTCTCTTCTTGGGTAAATCCGGTAACCTCCTTGCCCTCCAACTGGGTTGGTCTTTCCCACTCCTTGAAACAGGGTCAGTGCCTCTACTCACTCGTGGCCTCATGGGCAGGGAGGTGGTGGACGGGAGGAGCTGTCTGTCCTACTTGTCCTTTCTGGGGCTGGGGTTCCAACACTGCCCCCCCTGGACCTGGCCTCAGCCAGCCAGCAAGCCTGGCCCAAGCCAGCTGGGTCTTCGAGACTTGCAGGACCAGGGTGTGGCCACCAGGAGGCAGCAAGGCCTGGGCTGTGAGCACCAGGGTGGGCGTTGGGGTCAGGGTTAGGTTGGCTGCAGCCCAGAGACGCGGGATCTGACTTAGGAGCCGGGGGATGCCCCAACATTCCCTGGATGTGAAAAGGGATGAGGCTGGGTCTCCGCTCTGCCCCCCTGGAGTTCCCTGGATGCCGTGTCCTGGTGTCCATAGTGGGCTGCCCTGGTCACCCTTTCCCAGGTGAGGGAGCTTGCAGATGTAGAGTCACCAGCGCTGGCTGCTGTTTCCTGATAGTCTCCATTCCACCAGGGCAGGAAGACGGTAGCCTGCAGGGCCACCGTCCCTGGTTTCCCAGCACCGCCGGCAGCCTGGCCAGGCTTCTCCCAGGGCGGCCACCCCTGCACACGGCTTCCTGTCCTCCCTCCCTCCCTCTCGGCCCCTGGGGCATCCTGCACCCCAGCCCAGCCTCTGCTCACGCTGCCGTCTGACCCCCATGAACTTGGTCCCTGGGACTCTCAGGGGATCTGAGCTCTGCCACCCCCACCCGGCACTGCTCCCCAGCTCCTCAGCAGGAGTGCTCCCCTGGCTGCCCACAAGGGCCTTTCCGTGGCCTGGGTCCTTCACCTCCCCCACAGTCCTCACCTCCTGGGTGGGGCCGCCCACGTAAGCGGGCCAGTCTGCCCTGGAGCACGAGGCAGCCAGTCCAGGACCAGATCCTCCTCCCTGCAGATTCCTTTCCTTTCCTAGATGATCCATACCCCATTTGGGTGCCAGGCTTGCCTTCTTTACCCCCCACCCAGCGGGCTCCCTTCCCTGCCTGTGCACTGCGGGAGACCCTGCCGTGCTCCCTCCCGTGGGATCCACTAAGCTGCCCTGGGCTTCGCCCCACCCCTGCCTCCTCCTCCCTCCTCCCTCCTCCCCCACTCCGCAAGCTGACAGGCTCCAGCCGCTGGAAGAGCTGGAGGAACCCTGGGGCCAACACTGCTGGAGAGCTGGGCTGAAGGGGACAGCTGGTGATGCGGGCAGGGAGCTGTGGAGACTCCCCAGGAAAAGCCCCTGGTGACCTGGGGGCTGGGATCCGGGAGCATGGGACTTGAGGAACCAGAGACAGGTACATGGTTGAGGGGTGGACGGCGGAGGGCAGGTGAGGGACCCTGAGGCTGGGGTGGGGCAGTGGAAGCTCATATGAGTGGGCAGTGAGGGGGGAAATGAGGTTTAGCTGGGGGGTCCCCCACCGTCTTCAGCAGGAAATGAGAGACTGGACATTAAAACCTAAAGAGACTTAAAATGTGGTTTGAGGGGACTAGGGGCCAGAGCAGGTGGAGGGCCCTCATTCCACACTGACTTCAGGCCAACTTGGTCACCTTACCCCTGGGGACTCAGTTTCCCCATCTGTCTACCAGAGCCGCTCCAGCTTCGGTGCTGCCGACCTGGGAAGAGCGTCGCTCTTTGGCTTAGGAAAGAGGGGAGCCTAGTAACAGTCTCTCCTGGAGAGGGGGCGGCTGTTGAGTGAGCTGTGCAGCTGCTGGGTGCCACCAGGGCCAGCCACTCAGCCTGCTGATTAAGGTGCAGCTGCTCCACCTGCCCCAGACCCTGTGCGTCCACAGTGTGCTCAGTGATCCTGACGCTCCATCTGCCTCCCAGCTCTGGAGGATGAAGGTCCCCGACAGCACCCCGCAGTCCCCGCTGCCAAGACTTCTTCCCATCAGTAGGGATCAGGGCCAGTGTGGAGGTGGGACAGGGCAGGGGTGGAATGTTCGTGGCAATAGAGACGCAGGGCTGAACAGAAAGACCTGAGTTGGGCTTGGGCTGCTGGTGGCCCAAGTTGGAACGGGAACAAATGCTCTGACCCTGCCCTTCCACCCTCCCTAGCAGGCCAGCCGAGAGCAACCCTGCTGCCCACACCCAATGGTAGTGGGCCGGGCCAGGAGTGGGAAGGCCACTGGCCAGAGATCCCAGAGAAGTCACCGTGCGTGGTTGGTGTCATTCCTGTCATCTACTACAGTGTTCTGCTGAGCTTGGGGCTGCCTGGTGAGTGGGGCCTGGGGCTGGGGTCTTAGACAGGGCCAGAAATCGGGG